TTGACATAAACTCAAAAATGATTAAGACTCAACTCATAGTTATCATTATTAGGGTCACAATACACATAACCATGTGCCCTTGTTCACTATATGCATGCTCACACCTCCCTTATATCTTGCTTATTCTTCTGGTATGAAACTGTGGGCTATAACATGATGGGGTAGTCTATAATCCATGACTTTCCTAACCTAAACACTTGTAAGGGGATTACTCAATCAGTGCTTACCCAACTCACTTGTAAAACATGGCACCCCTATTTTCTCACACTATAGGGTGTATACTCTCTAAACTAGCTTCCTTATTGAATTAGTGGATAGCTAACTAGGTTCAAATACCTCATTAAATTAGTGGGACAGTCTTTTATTAAACAAGTGAGACAATATGAATAAAACTAATCTGGGCAAGCCATCACTCAAATGGGAGTCCTGCCACGTGAATTTAATTCTTTACTCCTCTTCCTAGGCAAATTCTTGTCTCTTAAGATCATGCAATATATATTTATGCAAAATTCAAATTTAACTTAATTCATAGCACTTCACATAACCAATTTCATTGAACTCCACCATTTTACAAATCATTAAGGGCCTGTTTGTTTTCTATTTTTTAAAAACTATTTTTTGTTTTTAAAAATAAAAAAATTTAAAAATTTGTTTGGATAAGTGTTTTTCATTTAGTTGTTTTCAAAAATGTTTTCATTTTTTTTGTTTTTAAAAACAAAAAAATAGAAACAACTTTAAGTTGATTTCATTTTATTTTTCTTGTTTTTAAAATACATTACATTTCATTATTAAAAATTATAGTTACCTTGACTATTTTCTATTATTAATCATCATCATTAGCTATCTATAATCATCATCATCAGTTTATTTTTTAATTTTAAAATTGTTTTTAAATTACATAACCAAATGAATTTTTATTTTATTTTTGTTTTAAAAACAATTTTGAAAACTATATTATAAAATAGTTTTTAAAAACAAAAAATGAGAATAGAAACCAAACAAGCCCTAAACTTCTCAAACATTTTCATTGAACTCCAAATCACACAAGTCATTGAACTGTAATTCAAACAAGTCATTGAACTTCAACTTTTAAAATCATTGTATCTCACACATTCATAATCATTGAACTCCATATATTTCAAAATTATTGAACTTATATAAACTCAAATCATTAAACTCCCATTTTCATAATCATAGTACCCTACATTTTGACAATTATTAAACTTTAAAATTTTAAAATCATTGAACTACATTAAATCACTACTTTATAATGGGCTTTTTCAAACAAAGCAAGCCACATTTACATTTCAATCAATTTCACATAATTCAATCATCATTTATCAATCAATAACTAATAAACACGATAAAGTTTAAGTTAGAATTCTCCCGGTTACCTCAAAACTTTAAGAGGTCAAAGGTTTTACTTTTCAAATACTCACTCTTAAAGCTTTCAAGAAGCTTAAATGGTGCCAATAATAGTTACTCCACAAGCATTTACAATGAAAATCATCAATATCCATATTTGACCTAATTTTCACTAATACGTCAACACTTCTCAATGCTCAAGATTTATTCTTGACTCATATAAAAATACCCATAGAGTTTCTTAGCTTCCTTTAACCTTAATTATCATCATTAAGCCCTTTAATGACCACTAAGGGGACCACATTGTTTTCAACTAACATATTTATGAGGATTTTCAGATATTTAATGTCCTTTAACCACCAACCATTATATATTTATAAATACCAAGTTTATTTAGCTAAATTTACTCTCATTAACTCTATTTAAATTAATGAGTTCGGACTCATAGCCTTTATAGACTGAAAATCACTATTATCAATTAAACTTTAACTTTTACCATCAAGAAAATGGAAGAAGAGAGAAAGATTTAAGTATAGAAAGTTTGCCTTTGATGTTTATGGGCTCAAAAATACTCCTAATGTTTAGATTCTCTAAGCCTTAGCACTGCTCTTTCACCTCTCCTTCATTTCTTGATTTTTTTCTCTTCTCTGTTGCATCAATTTTACAACCTTATTATAGTAAAAAAGTGACTATGCCCTGTAGTGGATGAACAATACGCCGTGGCGCATAGCACAGAGAGCTTCTTCCTAAGCGTGTTGCCATACATGCACCGTGCTGGCTTATCCACAAGTCGTGGCGCGTGGCACATAATCTCCCCTTTCAGAACTTCTTTCTCTTTCATTTCTGAGTGACTCGATTCTCCTTCAGACTCATGTTTAAGGCTAAAATTGAAATCAAACATGCCCGTTAGCCCCCCTGGCCACACATCTCACTAATACACTTAATTAATTTGATTGGGCTTATTTAATCTGGTTTAAAATTAAGGATGTTACAAGATTTGATTAAAAATATCTTACATTTTTAAACGGAGAGAGAATATAATTCTCCCAATATTTTACTGCGTGAATTTAAATATTATACTTTTTTTACTTAATTGCACATTTATTTATCAAAATAAACATTTATATGGTTAACATTTCAATTTTTTTTCCAACTCCATCCATATGCATATTTTTATTTAAACTAGATAGTTTCCCGTGCATTGCATGAGTTGGAATTAAGAAATTTGAAACGAATATCATCAATACTATTGATATCAACACATTTGAGATGGCTAAATTTTTAGGAATTTCTCTATTTAATCATTTCCTTCTTAGATACCTTATTTGTATGCATCTTGTGAAAAAAAAATCTATCTAAAAAATACTTGTTCTTAGAGTGCTCAGAGAATATTGGCAAAAAAAAAAAATACTTCTTTAAAATTCTCAATAATCATTCATTTTCAATTACATAAAAAAATTAGACACTAATTTACGAATTATGATATAAGTTATATTTCCATAAATATGGATATAAGAAAGAATCTAAAGGGATCCTTCTTCTTCTTCTTCTTTTTAATCCTATTCCAGTCTATTGAATTTTTTAGTTCCTATTCTTTTTTTATGTGCAAAATAAAATTGCTACAAAAAAGATACATTTACCATTTTAGTAGTCGAATTTTGCTTGTTTAGAATACTTAAGTAGTAACTACATTATCTTGTTAGTGGGGAATGTATGGTGAAACATTCATAGTTTGAAGGGCCAAGACTATGGAGAAGAATTGATGATCCAAATTAAACTTATACTTTTTTTATTTTTTTTCTTTTTTACATAATTTTTATGGATGATAGTTGATTAATATTGAGTACAATGAAAAAGGAAAATACATAGAAAATAGGAAAAGAAATTAAATTTTATTGATCAAGAAAATTAAAAAGGCATGAAAAAGTACAACGAATGCAAAAGAATAGTCAGATGGAGTTAATGCTAATGATCATAAAAATTTAAAAATGAGATTGTTCTTAAATCAATACTCCCATGAAATTAGATTGAAAATACATGAACAATAAAAAAATAGATTAAATATCATTGATTAGAAAAATTGAAAAAGCATGAAAAAGTATAGCGAATGAATAAGGATAGCCGGATGGAGTTAATGTTAATAATTGGAGAAATTTGAAAAATGAGGCTGCTTATGAATCAATTCTCCCGTGAAAGTAGACTGAAAATACATGAAAAATAAGAAAATAAATTAAATCTAATTAATGAATCAAGAGAAATTTTCATATTAACATTAACCTAAAATGTATTGAACAATAAGAGTCATTTTTTTTAGAAAATGAGATTGCTCTTGAATCAATGCTCTCATCAAATTAAATTGAAAATACATGAAAAATAAAAAAAATTAATTTTCATTAAATACTCCCCTAAAAATAGACTGAAAATAGATGGAAAAATAAATTAAATCTTATTAATAAATCAAGAAAAAATTTTATATTAACATTAGCCTAAAATCTATTAACCAATGAGAGTTAATTTTTTTTTATCAATTAGATTGAAGCTACAAGATTTGTGTGTGTGTGTATATGCATATATATTGATGATTGATTAATATTGAATATTGATGATGATGGTAAGATAAGATTGATATTGATGATGATAATAAGATAAGATGCCTTGAAAAGGAAAACTAAAACATATGGGGAAATGCATCAGACATGAGCCCTGAATGGAGAAAAAGGAAGTTAGTTAATGCTCTTGTTTAAGTTGTGAATTACAGTTCAAAATTTGAAATTAAAAATAAGTAAAGCCGCATGAAAAATTGATTGAACTAATGAAAAAAGATAATTGAATTTTAACCAAGATAAAATGACCAATGACAAAGCTCAAAATTTAATCAATAGGATGTTTTTTATAAAATTTGTTAATATATATTGATGATGATATTGATAATATATGATAAAGGAGCCATATTAATAACAGGAGTTAAGTAACTTTAATATATTCTTACGGGTATTTAAAGAAAAAAAAAAGGTATTAGTTGTTAATTATTCTTAGAATTTCACAAAATCCTTTATACACTGAATGAATCATGAGATTTTCTAATACACGCTTTAAATTTTAGAAGGGAGGAATTACATTTATAGTTGCATAGCTGCCTAGGCCTCCCTAATTATTGATATCATAAACAATAACCATATAAATGAATAAAGATAAGATGTATTTCATTGAATATTGAGTACTACTGCTATGTAAGAAAAACATATTATCATTTGAAAAAAGAAAACTACTTCTTTAACTTTATTTATAAAGCAGTCATATCATATTTTATTGAAATTAAAAAAATTAAAATTTAATAATTATATTTAATTTAATAATATATTTTATCTTTTTAATATTTAATGAATATCAAATAAAAAAAGTTTAGGATGAGAAGTTAATCAAGTGATCTGTAAATGGGACAATTTTTTTTAATGTCCTATCAAATATCAATTGAATTATAGGCAGTATATTATATTGGAGTGGCATTTTAATTTTATTTTGCAGAGCATTATTATTGGTCCGATAGTCTCTTTTTTTTTTTTGTTGGCCAATATTATTGGTCCGATAGTCGCAGTACCCAAAAAGTCAGTCAGAAAGAGAATGGCGGCTTTCCCAGCCTTGTTTATATCTATTCTGACTCGCAAATTGCACAAGAAAAACGAAAAAGGATCAGAACACAAAGTGTCATTAAGCTCCGACGGCGGCTCATCTTCGTTGTTCTGCTTCCTAATTCCAATCCGATGAAACCCATCTCTTCCATCCGCTAAATTCCCCACTCTTTCCTGCTTTTTTCTGACGGTTCTTTCAAGTCTTCTGGCTGTTAATTACTTTGTTTCAGTTTCACTTACAAGAGTCTTTATTTTTGGCCTCACTAATTGTTGTCCTGGTACGTCGACTATTCTTGCACTTTATTGCGATTTGCGATTCTTTTGAATTCTTGTTCAAGATTCTTAGTTAGAGCGATGCAGTTTTTGATTAAGCGCTGAGGGGAGGAATTCGGATTCTGTCGGAGGTTTCTATGATGGCAAACAACTTAACGGGGCAACTATTGGGCTCAGAGATACATGGATTCCATACATTGCAGGGTATGTACGCATTTGAACGTTTCCATCCCGTTCTCTCTCCAGCTACTATCTTTCTTCATGGTGGAGGTGAATTTTTGATGCGTGAACTCTTTGTCATTTGGAGTTTTTTCCATTCTTTTTGGCCAACGTAGTTTGCTCGGTTTTGGAGTTTGTCTCGTGAAAACGGATTTAAGAGATTTTCGAAATGAAAGTGGGGTGGTTCGATATTATGAGTAATGGATCGAGTGAGAAGTTTTGGTGTTTGTAGAAAACGCAAGTGAGATCATAACTTTTCTATCATTTCAATATTTTAGAGGCTATTTTTTTTTCTCTCAGTCATGAACATTAATAAGAGCCTTAAATTGGCCCATTCTTTTACTTGTCTTTGCAGCAATTTATTTTCAGTGTAGCTAGATTATACTGGAACCTTGCTGCCAATAATTAAAGAGTTGTCTCTGTGATTTTACCCAAAAAAAAAGAAAAAGAAAAAGAAAAAGAGTTGTCTCAGTGACAAGAAGCGGAATTTGAAAACAGGCTGACAATTGTGTCCTGTAATTAGTTAGTCTGAAATGTAGTAATTGTTACGTCTTCGCAACTCCTGCACTTAGCAATGCAGAATTGTGATGTTAGAACTTCAAAATCATCGTACTCGAGTTGATCCTAATGTTTGGTAAATCATATTACGTATCATACTAATTTAGGTGTGGTTTGTCGAAAAGGAATGTAATGAAAGGGAGAAAATTTTGGAATCTTTGTATATTTGAGGTCATCCATTTGAATAAATAACCTCAGCTTTTGATTCAATAAGGGTAGTTTATTATGAAAACGCCCACGCTTTATGATGGGGATGGAAGGAAGCTGATAATTTGTGTTTTCACCATGCCATTCTTTTGCTATTTGTTGGCCCCTTGAGAATCTTATTTTGGCAACCAGATATTTAGCTGATGACTAATGCATATTATTGTTAATAATGTTTCTTAACTTATGTTCTGAAATAGTCTATTATGTGGCCCAGAGTTGGATGTTGGAATTATTATGGAGGAAGCAAGATGCAGATGGCTTCGTCCGAATGAGATTCATGCCATACTCTGCAATCACAAAAATTTTACCATCCATGTCAAGCCAGTGACCTTGCCCAAAAGTAATTATTTATTGCCATTGGCAACAACTTGATGCTAGTTAAGTTGATATGCATTTATTTCATGACCTTACTCGAACAAGACCTGTTCTATAAGCTTGCACTTGCTTGTCCTTGAGTTTTGAAAAATCATGAATAAAGAAAAATGATGTAGTTTTTTTTTTTTTTTTTTTTTTTTAAATGCTGATCTATTTCTTTTTTTAATTTACACGGACTGTTTTTTGTCTCGTTCATTTCTGCTTTTCTATTCATGTTGAGCATTTTCCATACTGATAGAAAGAGTTAATGCATGATATTCTTGCTTCAGATAATCTTTTTGACATGTAACTTTTTGTATACCTATAAACCTTCAGATCTGTCAATTCTTGTTTAAGCAGTAGTTAGCAGATAGAGAAAAGGGTCAACTTGTATGATTAGAGATTTGCGAGTCATTGATATGATGCACATTATGAATTCAGCAATAACTACAAATGATATCTGACATAATTCATTGACAGCCTTTTAATATATTATGATTAATAAAAAAATGAGAAGTATTTTTTTAAAATTATAATTTTCTGCCCTTTTTTCTCTGTACACCAGGTGGTACTCTTATATTATTTGACAGGAAGAAGCTTAGGAACTTTCGTAAAGATGGGCACAACTGGAAAAAGAAAAAGGATGGGAAAACTGTTAAAGAAGCTCATGAGCACTTAAAAGTGAGAATTCACATGTCCTTAGGATGTATATTTGTGTTCATGTGAATTTGATGTTGTAGTTTCTGGTTTTTGACACTCTTTCTGGTCATTCTATTCTCTCCATCAATCAGGTTGGTAATGAAGAAAGGATCCATGTATACTATGCACATGGTGAAGAAAACCCGAATTTTGTTCGCAGATGTTATTGGTTGCTTGATAAGTATGTGTAACTCTAGTTAGTTGAACTCTTAAAGCCTCATTTCCAGCCTGTGATGCATGTACCATACTCCTGAATCTGATTTAGTAATGATGCTTATTTATTTCAGGAATCTGGAGCATATCGTCCTTGTTCATTATCGTGAAACACAGGAGGTTGTGTTTATTTCCCTCTTCTTTTTTCCTTTCAAATGTTTCTTTTCATTGCATAAGATATGATTAAGAAGTAGCCTGTGTTAGTTGCTTGGCTAAAATAAGGGTCATATATTTATGCCACCGTACATCAAAGTAATTGGTTAGTAATCCTTAGATCAGAAAGGGAGTTTTCAAGCATATCTGGATACACCAAAAATTGCATCTATATTTCTCACATTGATCATATTTTCAATTTCTTTTATTGAAAATTCTGTGTGGAGTGTGCAAGCTAGGTTGGTGTGAGTACAAGTATTGTTGGTAATATGATCTGAATATGGGGATATGACGACTTTTAAAAAATAGCATGTGTACAGAAAGATAATGAAACATTTGAAATATAGTAGTAAATGAGTGTGAGTAACAGAGAAAGTTTGGTAAAGAAGAAGCATTTTACCACATATTGAAGTTCTGAGCAAATTTCTGACTTAGTGCCAGAAAACTAAAGGCAGATTCAATAGGAAAACAGTATTATGCCAAATAAGGATACGCCATGCATTTCAGATTACTTGTCACTGTATATGCATCAAATTTGACGATGGTATTCACCAAGGCCTAATTAGTGAGATAACTGTTCTAACCATATGATTTGGCATTTTTCAACAAGATTGGCTGGTTGGGCTTGGGGCATTATGAAATGGCAACAGAACGATCATAAGCCAGAATCCATGGTGTGAGACATTCAGACCAAGAAAAAGAATGTGGTAATTTAACCACCGGTATGAAGGAATCAATGAAGGAACACTTGACTCTAAAGCTTCAAGGATCCATAATGTCTGATAGAGGGTTGAGGCCTATGATGCTGTAGACCTGAATGCTGTTAGGTAATTCAGTCGGGGTGGCTGGGACTAAATGATGGTAGGTATATAATTACAAAGAATCACTAAGAGAACTGGGCTAGGCCTTTTTAATCCATATGGTTTTGCCTATGCCTTGGATATGGGTTAGTTGGATTTACCGCCTTTCCCAGATTCTGGTGAAGATTATTGACCAGGAGCAATCTGTTTGGACCTAAGGAGCATGTAAGACAATTCAAGAATTACTTCGTATTATCCAAGTCTTGTATCATATGGATGGGGTTAAATGGTGGGCCTATTATGATCAAGTATTACTGATAACTCAGGCTAGTCATTTTAGGCCTTTGGTTGTCCTATTGTCTTGGACTCTCGGGCGCATGACATTTAGAAAATGTGTTAATCATTTGTGCTAATATAGGCAATCTGAACCTTTTAGACACATTTATGTGATTTGAAATGTTAAGATGTTGGCTGTCTTATGGTGCTGCTTTACCTTTGTCATTTACATTGTTTGTCTTTCCTTTAATTCATTCAGAGTTTGATTGGGAGGATGGTTTGGGGGTGGGACAGGATGGAGTGGAATGGTTTGTCTATCTTGCCTTTTGAGTAGATGGGAAACCATCGTAATGCATCCTACCCTCCAACTTTTAATTCAGTCCAAATTGGGTGGGGCGGGTTGGGTTCTTTGCAATTTTTTTCCATTTCCTTTTGTAATTCAGCTCACTTGCCTATTTCTTAAAAGGGCTAATATCACAGATGTTATTGGAAATTTCACACTTCAAACCCAATCCACCCCACTAATGACATTGAATGTCGAATCAAGAGGGAATTGGATGTTATCCATTGTTTCATTGAATAAATCTTCAATTGATTTAGTGGGTTATCTTTCCCAGCTCATTCTTATGCCATCTTGTTGAAGATCCCTGACCCCACTCTTTCTGATACTTCAATTAAGTTAGTAGGTGGGATATAATTTTCTTGATGCTATTCAATTCATACCCTTACAGAAAATGTAGTTGCATTTAGCATTACCTTGGCAAGAAGGCAACTGCAAATTGTTGCACAGATATCTCATTAGTGCTGGGGTTTTGTCAATTGGTATCTTTTTTGTGCAAGATACTAACACATCTTTATAATTAGCTTAAAATTCATACTTAGTCTCAATTTTTTCTTCACCACATAATCTGTTGGACAAATACAATATGACATTCTAACAATTGTAGTGTGGTCTATGACACAGTTGCAAGGTTCTCCAGTCACACCTGTATATTCAAATGCTAGTTCTCCGTCTGATCCAACAACACCATGGGTATTATCAGAAGAATTAGATTCTGGGATCAACAAGGCATATGCTGGCGGTGAGGACTATAAGATGATTTTCTATGTATAGTTGGAAGCTATCTATACAACTGGCTCATTGCAATTCTTCAAAACAAACTTTGATTTGCTTGTTGCTGAATATGGATCTTAAGATATGATAGGTGGATCTTGTAAGAGGAATTAACATGTACAATGCATGGAGACAAGTGTCATATATCAATTCATTGTACTTTATATTTCACCTTTTCATTTTTACTTTTTCCCACGTTTCCACTTTTGTGTAGGATACTAAATATAGTCATAGTAGTAGTAGGTTGGCAACTAATATCTGGGCACTGCTGTCATGGGTACTTGTCTTTACTTGAACAGGTATATATTCTCATCTCCCCCTTTTTTGTTTTATGCGTTTTTGGCATAAACAGATCTGAATGACAATTTAACCGTCAAAAGTCATGAACTGAGGCTTCATGAAATTAATACACTTGAATGGGATGACCTAGTGGTTACAAATGATCTTAATGCCTCTACCACTTCCACTCGTCCTGGAGGTAATTCATTGTGTTTTCAGTAGAACTGATATCTAGTCTGGAAATCATCCTGTCATCTTAAACTTTCACATGTAACACTTCGCAGGAAAGGCTCCATGTTTTCATCAAGAAAAACAAATTTTACTGAATGGTAATTCGAGCACGGTAAGGAGATCTTATCTTTCCTACAAAGGTTATCTTAATAACCTCACTATAGTGTTCTATGTTGTGTTCTTCATTAATGTTGAAGGGGCAATTAGTCTTTTAAAACTTTTTATTAGAACCTATCTTATCTTTTGAAATTGACAATATATTTAAAACAGAGGACTTCGTAATATTTCATTGACATCAGATTTGATTGACGTCCTAGTATGCAGCATGTGTATTTGAGGTCAAAGTTGATATATTATTGTTTGAAGGCATTGATAATAGAATAATTGTATATTTGACACAAAATATTGAAGGTAATTGTGTATTCAGTGAATCAATATACGTTTACTATTCAAAGTAATAATTTTTACTGCAGTACCTTGGCTTTTGATGAAGCACTTTATCTCGAGGAAACTTCCTTTTCTCTAGGCTCTTTGACAACCTTTTGTTTTAAGGAAGATGATAAACCAAATGCGTTGTTTTTCAGCCTAAATTTCTTGTATATTCCTTCAAGTGTATGTAATTATTTTAGGTTTTCTGGGATAAATCAGTGGATCCTTATTGATCTCATATGATTGCTTTACTTCATTATTTTCTCTTCTCACTCCAAAAAGGGGAATGGGCTATAAAGTAATCTTCCATTGTTGGTTCTTATTTCTTGATATATCTTGTGGTTTGTCCATATATTTCACTGAATTATCTTTAATCTTCACTGTAAAACAATTTCAGTAGCAATTGTTGCCATTAATTGAGCTGTTGACAATTTCCACATTGGGAGGGAGATTATATAATCTCTTTGAAAAATGAACTTTGAAGGTTTTATACTTTGTTTTTGTTAATTTCACTATTTGGATACTTGTTAAATCTTTATTCTATGGGGGGATTTTGCAGATTTATCTGCAGATGAGTGGAGATATTTACTACTTACCCTTTTTCGTTCTAGTTCTTATGTTGTTTATGTGGTGTATAGTACAATACGTTTTATGTTAATAAGATTTGCCAGCATTGACTGAACTGATTTCTCTACACAGTTTTCGGCAAACGAATATGCAGAGATGTTGCAACCTTTAATCTAGTCACTCTTAGAATTAATTCCTTTTGCTTTTCAAGCTTCCTGTTCATATACTGTTCATTTCTTGCCTCTCCCCCCCCCTTTCAATTGATGTTTTGTTTTGTAACCTATAGATGTATCTTCTCGCCAGGTAGTTGACAAACAATCTGCAGACATTCCTTCTTTTGATATTCCAAACAATTCGATTAATGGGATCAATAGTGCTCAATACAATTTTCATGAAAGTTCGAATCTTCAGACATTCAATAGTCAATCAAATTCAAATGTACAGAGTGAACATTCTATCACCATCAGTGGTGGCGATTTAGTGGATAGTCTTGTCAATGATACTCTGCAAAGCCAGGACAGCTTTGGAAAATGGATAAGCAATATGATATCTGATTCACCATGTTCTATTGATGACTCTGGTCTTGAATCCTCGGTTTCATCTGTTCATGATTCATACTCTTCAGTATTGGATAATCATCAACCTTCTCTGCCAGAACAAGTGTTTAATATTACTGATGTGTCACCTGGCCGGGCATGCTCCACTGAGAATACAAAGGTCTGCTTTTGCTATTCTTTAATATCCAATAGCTGGTGTCTAGTTGTTACTATACATATGATTTGGCTTCTTGTTCAATGATAGGTTCCAAGATGAGTGAAGAGAAATAAGGAACATAAATCTCTATTAACACATTAAATCAGAATCTAACTTCATAATATTAATAAGAGAACATAAAACCGATAGAAGAAAGTAGAAGAAATAAATCTATCAAAATAATATAAAACAAAAATCTCGTTCTATACTTCTCTCAATAGCCACGCTTAGGAAAAATCTCCAAAGGCCAAAAGGTCTCAAAAGTCTATTTTATTCATGATATGCTTGCTTCTAAGTTGCTAAGCATATTTATAATGCTAAATACAATCTAAAATAATGAATAAAATCTAGATAACTAGATAATTAAATAAAATTAAATAAAATCTCCTAGAATCTATATCTACATGAAATACTAAACAAATCTCAAGAATTAAATATCTAAATAAAATCTAAATAATTAGATATTTGATAAATATATATATCTAAATGAATATCTAGATATCTATATAAAATCTAGATAACTAAATACCTAAATAAAATCTAAACAATATTATTAAATAGAAAATATCTAAAATAAATTAAAATAATATTTATTTATAATATCCATCTTTCCAGATCACCCATTATCTCGGAACTCTATCAGTCAATATTAAGCCTTTCGTTGAAACAATAAAATTTTCTTTAGGTCCTTAAAGCTTAAAAATATGGGAGATAAAATACAATGAGGAATAGGAGTTGCAATCTTTGGCATTATACATTCACATTATCTGATTAATTTGTCAAATATTGCTTAAGACCATAAATGCTTGATGTCGATAATTTAAATATTTACTTTTGTTTGTTTTGCCATTTCTAATAGATTTTCTGACCTTCATTTACTTGTTACAGGTCCTAATAACTGGAATTTTTCATGATGACTATCTGCACCTTGCGAAGTCCAATATGTTTTGTATCTGTGGGGACGTACCTGTTCCTACAGAATTTGTTCAACTCGGTGTCTACCGATGCTGGGTACCACCACATTCCCCTGGTTTTGTGAATCTCTATATGAGTTCTGATGGCCATAAGCCCATAAGTCAAGTTGTTAATTTTGAGTATCGTACTACTGTTGTGCAAGACCCTGCTGCTTCTACAGAAGAGAGGTACAACCGGGAGGAGTTTCGACTTCAGATGAGGCTTGCGTATTTGCTCTTTTCTACACAAAAGAGTCTTGATATTACCTCTAGCAAAGTATTGCCTGATGCACTGAAGGAGGCTAAGAAATTTGTCTCCAAGACATCGTATATTTCCAAAAGTTGGCAATACTTGATTGAGTCAACTGAGGACCATGAAACTCCATTTCCACAAACAAAAGATGCCTTGTTTGAAATTGCATTAAAGACTAAACTAAAGGAGTGGCTGTTGGAAAGAATTATTTTAGGTTGTCAGACTACTGAACTTGATGCCCGAGGTCAAGGTGTAATTCATTTATGCTCGATTTTGGGATATAGATGGGCTGTTTCATTATTCTCATTGTCTGGTTTTTCATTGAATTTCCGTGATAAATTTGGATGGACAGCCCTGCACTGGGCTGCTTATTATGGAAGGTATAGTATATTTTATACTCACTTTTTTAAACAATTAGTTTTGCAGCTACCGAATTGCTTGACAAGTTCTTTTCTGTTGTGGCTTTGCTATTGATCAGCTGCTCATTGTTTAATTAATTTGAAATGTGTCTGCAGGGAGAGAATGGTTGCTTCTCTATTGTCTGCAGGGGCAAGGCCAAATTTGGTTACAGATCCTACTCCTCAACATCCTGGTGGATTTACTGCTGCTTGTCTGGCTCAGATGAAAGGTTATGATGGCTTAGCAGCTTATCTTTCGGAAAAGTCTCTGGTTGAGCACCTCAAGGAAATGAGCATAGCAGGAAACGCAAGTGGCTCACTGGAAACTACTCGCACAAGTGATCCAGTAAAATCTGAGAAGTTCAATGAGGATCACCTATATATGAGGGATACATTAGCAGCTTACCGGACAGCTGCTGAGGCTGCAGCGCGCATACAAGCTGCATTTAGAGAGCAGTCACTAAAATTACGATCTCATGCAGTTGAAATTTTCAGTCCAGAGGCTGAAGCACGCCAAATAGTTGCAGCAATGAAGATCCAGCATGCTTTTCGAAACTTTGAGACGAGGAAGTCTATGGCAGCTGCTGCTCGCATTCAGCATACCTTCCGTACATGGAAGATGCGTAGAGAATTTCTCAATATGCGTCGACAGGCAATCAGAATTCAGGTCAGAGCTACCATTCTGCTTATTATAAATATATATGGCCCATTGCAAATCCATGCCCTTTGCTTGAGGCATATTGTGAACCAATCAAAATGCACACTGCAGATTGTTATCAGTTGACACTGATGACAGCATCAACTTGTTCCATAAGTTATGGTGCAGTCATGCTAGTTCTCAAGTGTTTTATAATGGAGATCTAAGCTTCACAAGACCCACTTTTCTTACCATGGAGTAATTGATGCCAACTACTTTGCAAAGAGGCTTTCTGTTCTGTTATATCACTAAAATTGAGATATTGCAAAAAAATTACAACAGAACTTGAAATAAAGCATATGCTGTGAAGGGCCATTAACCTTTTAAATGTTTCCCATCTGCTCATCCAGTCACTGCTGCATGAAAATGCTGGTTGTAAGGAAAGTGTTTGTGTGGTGAATGCTGTGTTTGTGTGGAGGTTAGAATCCTCCACATCTGATGATGGACCCCGAAAACCTTCTCTCTTTATTGAAGATACAAGAAATGCAGGAGCATTTTGGTTCTTTATCAAAACATGAATTTTCATGAGCTTGAAATAAACAACCTTGCATTTATTGTGTCTTTTAAAGGGGGGGAGAGACGGTTTTTTGACATGTATATTTGATGGCACCCAGTTTAATTATAGCCGAAAAAAGATAGTAATTAGTTACAAATCCTCCAAGTGTCAATGAGGATAAATGGACAGTAAAACCACTAATTGTTCTTCTACAGTAGCCTGAAAAACAGTAGGAAATATAAAATAAAGGAAGAACCAAGTAGTAATGGCTTCCCTGACATTTGAGAGGCAGGGCTCCCCCTCCACACAGCAAAATTCTCTGGTCTTTCCTATGTCACTTTACCCTAGAAAATACCCCCACAACTGGGTTCCACGCCCTACTGCATCACTCTTCAGTATTCTTGTTCCGTTGGGATTGGCCTCACCAATATTCAATAATTTTTATAGGACTCTTGCGAAATCTGTCATTAATAAACTGCGTGCACAATGTCAGTTAAGTTAGAAACTAAGCTATGTGTTAGATATATTTAATTAGTTCAATATGATATATCTTAAATTATTTACTTTCTGTTTTCAACTTGTGGATACATTTATCTGAAATTTGACATGCATGATCAACTATATAATATCTCTTAATAAAAAATTTATGAAAATCACATTTATGTTAGGGGACTAAACAGGAGTTGGTCCTCTCCTGACTCTTAGATCTAATCCCCTAGCGACAAAAGGAAACGCCTCATTTTCAGACTTTCAGACATGATACTGGCAGATTTCATGAACTGAAATGACTTCTGACTTTCTGCAAGTGACATTCAGGAAAAGACTGATCACCTATGTTCCAATGCAGGCTGCTTTCCGGGCCTTCAAAGAGCGGAAGAACTACCGCAAAATCATTTGGTCTGTTGGAGTGGTTGAGAAAGCAATCCTGCGGTGGCGTTTAAAAAGACGGGGCTTCCGTGGCCTTCATGTCAATCCTGTCCAAGAAGTGGAAGGTCAGCAGGAGGAAACAGAGTTTGTTACTGAGGAGGACTTTTTCCGGACTGGCAGGAAACAAGCTGAAGAACGTGTTGAGAGAGCTGTTGTGCGTGTTCAAGCCATGTTCCGGTCTAAGAAAGCACAAGTAGATTACAGGAGGATGAAACTAGCCCATAATCAAGCAACGGTAAGTTACTTATCCTAATGATCTTTACTGATAGGTCTCATTTAGCGTCGGTGTATGCATGCATTGAAATGGGGAATTGCAATGTGCAGATGGAACTAGAACATGAAGAGCTCCTCAATTCTGAGGTTGATATGGGAGTGAAGACATAGGATGATGCAAAGACAACCCCAGAAAAAAGGTTCTTACTTTATGGGTATGGCTAACAAGTGAATGATCCTGGAAGGGATGTTGCCTGTTGGTGCCTCGGCTGTATATTTTGTAGATATTGTTAAATCCTAGTGTAGCTTTACAAATTTTGACCCTTTCAAATTGGTTTAATTTCTTGAATGGGTCATCTTTGAAGCTTTGTATGTTATAGGGCTCTTTGGTAGATTATACTGATGCTAAGATCCAGTCAGGTCGACGTTTTTTCAGTAAACAAACCATCAAGCCCTAGGGAGAAGAAAAAATTAGGAGAAAATTTGTTTCTCTTCTAAAAGGTTGCGAGAGATCATCTGTTAAGAACATAGAGTTCCAGAATTTTGTTATTGCTATGCGACTATAAAACATGCTTATTCCCTGTTATTATTGAGAGAGCATATCATCCAGAATGCTCAAATCAAAGGTGGATAAGTGCAGCGTCTTGAATCCAAATTCTTTCGAGCAATTGAAGGATAAATTGAGGTCAAGTCGAGATAAGCATGAGACACATTGTTAAGCTGAGGATCACTCTTTAGGGCTATGCATATAGCCTGGTTAGCCCGACCCTTCCCAAGTTGGATTAGAGCGCACACAGTTCATATGCTGCTTTGCCCTAAAAGCTAACCTGAACTTGTTTCCACAAGATGCTTAACCTTTTTATTCCCTTTTTTCTCCTTTTCTTTTCCTCTATTTTTGGCATGTCTGTTGTTTGTGCGGTTCCCCCTAAGTCCTCATGTAATGCTATATCTCCTCTTCATTATGCCTGTTAATGCTTTCCATTAAAATGCGTTGCTCTTTATGGTTTTGTCAGTTGCTCCTTTTCATGCAAAACATAGATTTGATATTGATATGAATTTTTTGTGGTTTGCTGCTTTCCCAAAAGGTTAAGAATATGATGTTAATATTTCCTTTTTCGAACGTTTTGAAGCACAACATATCAGTTTATATAGATTTATATACACATTAGGCCATTACCCATATATATATATATATATATATATCAAACAATGAGTGCAGGGAAAATTAGAATGTAATATAAAAATTTAAATAACAACCATTATAACGTAGTAAGGCATACTTATATCCAAATTAAATGTCTGCATACGTTCACTTAAAAAACTTTCTGATGTCGTGTTTTAGACTTTTAGTGGCCGTGTTCGAAGAACACTTAGCTCTTCAAACAGAATATTAACTTCAGTTATATGATATTATGATTATATGTCGTCGTTGAGACGCCTGGAAACTTTAGGGTTTGAGGCCAACGGACACGACGCAACCAGAGTAATACAGAACTGGCTATTTGATACTAAATTAGCATTAGTCTTTCATAACTTTTATTTGATAAATTATGCTGAATATTAACTTTTAGTCTTTTTTTTTTTAAATCTCTCCTCATTACTCAATACTCATAATGCCTGCGAGTATTTTCTCCATCCAAGAAAAAGAAAAAAAGAAATCCTCTAAATCTTTATTAAGATATAAATTAAAATTTCATGGTGACATATAAAAAGATAAATAACTCGCCGTCCATTCATATATAAGACGACACAAGTTCTAATTAATAAGCCAAGGATTCTGGGTAGAATAATTGAACTGAAACTGCTCGATACTGCTCTGTGATGGATCCAAGTTTGGTTGATGAGCTTCAACTTGTGAGATTCGGAGCTTGTGGAAGGCAATAATAGCTTGAACTCTGGCTAGTTCGCTTTCTGTATCATGCAAGTTCTGATGCAACTGAGAAATAAGCTTAACACAGCCATACACAGGATCTTCTGTCCTGCATCGTGCCTCAAAATATAACGTATCCACTGCTTGTGCTCGCGCATGCACTGGGATTTGCTGCAACATTATATTTTCAGAGATATTAATGAATATCAAATCACTAAATCTAATTATGTTACGGCGTTAATGAAAAAGGAGAACTCTCGATCCTCCTTATAAGAGACACTCATTTTGTTTGTCCCTATTTTCTAACGAACCGAAGGCCTTGAGCCAGTATGGCAAAATGCACATTTAAAAAGAAAGAAATAGAAATACTTATTGTCGGATAAATTTATGTAATAAAATCATGTATGTAACCAAATAAATTGTATAATTTAAAATTTCCAGCTTTGACAGCAAATTTCCTGAATTAAGCTTAATTTATTGTTTATTACGTGAAAAATTTTATTCATAAAATTTAGATGAAGATTGTTGCGCCACAATTTTCTCTTAAGAACTTTTTTATTTTGCATGATTTTTTTTTTGACAAAGTCAATCTACCCATGTCCCAAATTATGTTTTCCTATATAAATAAAGTATATTTTATTAATAAATAACAACCAGGATTCTAGCCAAAAAAATAACAAGGATCTCAAATTCAAAATTATAATTAAAATGAATACATATTAGAAAACAAATTCTTAGCTGAAAATCATAAGAAGTAAATATTTTTTTGATAAAAGATTAAATAAAAATTGAATAGAATAAATAATCTAAAATTTAAACTCTCCCTTTTTTCAATCTTCGACAACACATGGAATTGGCCAAAACCCCAAAAGAATGGAAAATGGATGAGATAAAAATATTAAAAAAAAAAAAAACTCCACTTATCCATTCACACACACAATCTCTATTTATATTGAGCTTCCTTTTCCCTCCTTTCTTGTAAGAAACAAGATCAACTCATAAATAATATTCTTTAAACTAAGAACTAGATTCATCTAATTTCTCAGAATCTATGTATTGTATTTACTAGTTACCTGAAGCATTTTTCCAACATTGCTGCTACCGTATATTCTATGAACGCAAGCAAATCTTTCAGGATCATTGGGAGGAAAATAGGGGGAGAAAATGCAATCTGAAGGACACTTTCTTCTTTGATTCTTACAAGCTGCACACCGACCTGAAATCATGATATCAAAATCTTCTGAAGAGATCCGAAGAATAAAAATGATAATCCAGAAGAAGATTTTCACAATATCTTGCTACTCCCTGAACTGATGGGGAGAAAATCTTTCAGGGATTTTGATGTCTTATTGGATTGAGAGAGAAGAAGATTGTATTTGTATTGAGGATGATGGAGGTACTCTAAGAATCCTAACGGCCACATTTTTTAAATTTTCTGCATCAAGAAGGAAAGATCTGTGAGGAGGCAAGGTTATAATCATCCATTTAAGAGGTGACAATGATTTTTCAAATTAAATCTTCCCATTTTGATCTGAGAAAAATGCTAATTTTCTTCCTGGCCATGTTAAGAATGTACACTAAACATGATTGATTTTTCTCATTTTCTACGATATAGTCATATATAGCACCCTAACGGAAAAGTAATCAATAAATTGAATGCCTTTTGGAAATGATAATTCTACTTTCTAGTTATTCTCCGGAGCATAGCTAATTAAGTCAAATCGACAAATGCATCAATGAAATAATTGTGTGTGTGTGTGTGTGTGTGTGTGTGTGTGATACAATTTTCTGCGGGCCACAAATTAAACTCCTCGAAATAACCCGATTTAATTTTTATTGTATGATTCAAAAAAAATTATTGTATGATTTACTCTATATAGAATGATTAAAGACAAGGCTTGTAATTCATTCTAATTAAACTGATGACATTGTTTATAAAAAAAAATTGATGACATTATATATATATATAAAAGTTCAGATAAAAGGGTTTAAGAGCTTGAATAATCTTTGAACTTAAATACATTTTTAAAGACACACACATATTAAAATTATAAATATGCAATTAGTCCTCACGAGTGGTGGAAAATGCAACTAGTTTAACTTTTATGCAAAATAATATGATAAAATAAAATGATTTAGTATTATAACGAAAAAAATAAAAATACTATGCTTTTCCATCGACCAACAAAGCAGGTGGTAGGTCTGAAAAATTAAAAAATATTTTATATTTTTAAACATCTATTTAAAAAAATGCTTTATATTTTTTAACTAAAAAAGTGTGATATAATATATTTATATATGTGTGTAATCTTTATATTTTATATTATTGCACCTAAAAGTTTGTCAAATCTTGTTTTCAACAAAATAAAAGCCACACTTTGTAAATATCAACCCTTGTTACAATGACAGTATCAGAAAATTCCATAACATAATCTGACTATATTCCTTGAGAAATTGAAAGAAACACAAAAGGCATATCAATTTGCAGCCATTACAAAAGACACACACAAAGGACAATCAGAAGAAACCCAATGACTTCATGAAAAACTCAGGAACTTCCTCAAATGGAAGCTCGTACTAGTGAAGGAGGATTAGATATATATATATATATATATAGGGATCATCATATCACTCCTATCTTTAATAATATTCAGTTGTAAGAAGGATTGGCTAAGAGGTAAGCCTCAATGGCCTTGAAGAGTCCATCTCCCTTCTGCTTCCCAATCTTGAGCTCTTCTTCGCTGGGCTTTACATCTCCCCTTGTCACGTAATTAACGGTCACCTTAACGACGGAGCCACCATTAGGGGCCGCCGCCAACTTGGTCTCAACGGCGATCTTGTCCAATGTCTCAGGGAAAGTGTCGCTCTCCACTAAGGTGTAACTGTATACGAAGTCGTCCTTGTCCACCGCTTCCACCTTGTGCTTTGCGTAATGCAATTGTCCTCCTGCATACATAGATAACGCGTTAATCCTTTGTAAAATCTCTCAATGCTAAAGATTCACAGACAGATTATATTCAAACTGATTAAGAAGTGAACCTTCGAGGTAGTTGATCTTCTTGATGGTTCCAGGGGCACCGGTTCCTTCGAGGATCTCGACGCTCTGGACAGCGTCAACAACCTTGGGGATGAGGTTGTCACCGTCGAAGACGAGAGCCTTGTAGAGTGTGGCAGGGGCAACAGCCGAAATGTTCTCTTCGGAGAAAGTAAAAACACCCATTATCGATATCTTTGATGTGTAGAAGAAGAAAATGGAGAAGATAGATGGGAGAGGTGGATAGCTAGATTTTGCTTAGCAAGAAGCAAGTGATCGATATGGTTCGTGAGACAAGATATGGTAGGTTTATATAGCACCAGCAAGCTGAAGTTTGGCGGAGAAGATGTTCATTACTTGAGGTTGTTGGATCCCTAAGTGTGTATGTGTACGTACGTTAATTTAGTATTCGTGTTTCAAAGAAGTTGACCAGAGAGAGCTGGATGAAAAGTGGTCAGACATGGTGGGTTTGGATTTTCTGAGATCTAGAAGGCGTCTAAGTTCTCTCAGTCTTGCATCACGCGGTCAGATTTGCTGAATATATGTCTATATTTTTCCACAATGATATACTCGCAATGGGTATTAATTATTAATGTTGGAACTGATGCTGATGAGATTGACATACAAATGCATTTTTCCTCCAAAAGACACTATTAGCAACATTTGAACACCATGTTTTTTTGTTTGAGATTTTGTACAGATATCCTCTCATTGAACATAATTTTGTTTGAGATAATTCATTAAATATGAATATCTCTCTCGGCAGGGATTTAAATACTATATTTAGTAAGCCTTTAATGCTCTGTTCCACTGGTGCTAGTAATTACGTTGTAATTCAATTCAACAAAGCAGCCAAGGGGATAAAAAATGATAGAATCGATTCATGAAGCGGTTTCATAGTCTCGATAAAATCTAAGAACATATATTTATTGGAATATTCGTGAATTATTCTCTATTTTTATGCATTTTCTGCACTCTACCAAACTATGATCACTACTTGATTTGGTTCCTGCATCCCTTTTCCATGTTGATAAAAGGAAGTCTAAATTCATTTTAATTAACTCACTATAATTGGGGTTGCATAAATTGACTTTCAGCAGCAGTGGTAGTTAATTTAAAATGTTCCATTATTACTTGAATTCAAATTAATCATTGGGTCAAGGCCTAAGGGGTACCTTGGATATTTTATTCGCTCATGCATCAGGCCAATGTTAAGCAATTTTCCAGCGTCCTTGTACTAATCCAATTCATCAGGCTAGTGGAAAAGTTATTCTCCTACAATTGTTAGGAAGCACATTTAAGCGATATATAGGAAGCGATGAGAACTGAATGTCTAACGCAATTATCCGTACTCTATTTTTATATTAAGCCTAAACATTGCATTCACAAGTTTAAATGTTGCATATTGTAAAACAAAAACAGATCAGAGTCATTGAACTATTCAGATAATCTTGATCACCCGCAATATCCATTTGATTATCACATTGTTGGATCAGTTAGATTAAAGATGTAGCAGATTTCCTTTCACCAGGTAGGTGCCTACTTCACTTAGTTTTTCTTTATTGTGCCGTCTATATATAAAAAGACATATATTAAATAAATTCTTTAAAAAATACCATCCAAAAGGTGCAGATCCTCTATGTGGTCTAACATGACTTGATTGTTATCGGTATCACTTTGCACGGTTTTTGGTAGCCTTTTATTTCCCAAAATAAAAAAGAAGACAAAATTTAGAAACAAGCACCCTAATGACATACATTTTGTAAGGTGGATAACGAGCTGGTCCTACCAGCTCTAGAGACATGGGAGAGGAGACTCTCCATTTTTTTTGTCCTCTCATTCTCCCTCCATTTCCCCAACCTTCATTCATATTATCTTATTAAATAGTTTTTTTTAAGTATAAAATTAACGAAGGGTGAAGATGGGGGAATGCAGAGAAAAGGAGAGAGAAATCAAAGGAGAGACACTTCATCTGGCACGACCTCTAACAATGAAAACCTTGTTATTCGGAAGAGTGAAAACAAGCAGGTAACCTGTTTTACAGCAATTTTTTGTGAGCTAGATTCATTATTAAATGATTAAATCCATGCAAAACGGTAGTCAAGGAGACACGAGACATTTGGTTGAACATGAAAGCCAGTCACTCTATTATTAGTTCTACCATTTTGGTGACCAATAATAATCTGCATCACAGCACAAGCTTGCACCAACGCTTACACAAAATTTGCCAACAGAAATACGCAAGTCTCCAAAGTAAAACTAAAATTTTTAACATATCCAATTTACATCAATCCAATGCCAGAGTAAAAGACTGCTTCAGCAGAACCATCATTATAATTACCTGCTACCACCACACTTATTGTCTAACTCTATTCACTTCCCTATTTGATGTACTGAGAGAGCCACCTGAACCCTTCACCGTAGCCCATCTTACGCACGATGCTGCACATGAAAACCTCCAGAGGACGGACATTGGAGTCTGCCAAGTTGACCTTGCCCTTCCCCGTGGTGAAGTTTGTAAGCCCCATATGATAACGAAGTTCATCCTCTGAGGCGGCATAAGGTAAGTCGATCTTGTTTCCCAAGATAAGGAAAGGTACATTTGCTAAGGACTCATCAGAAAGAAGGGCATCTAGCTCCCTCTTTGATTCGGCAAATCTTTCCTTATCATACGCGTCTACCAGGTAGACCACAGCATCAACCTTCGTGATAGAAAAAATCACAAATAATGATAAGTAATTGTCATGGCACAGATGTACAGACATAGGCATCAAAGGAGGTTGAAAGCATGGTATAAACTGCCAAAATGCGATGCATACAGATTAAGAACATAGAACAGCATAATATACTAATAAATGACATGTCAAATAAAAGATAAATTGGTAATTAAGATCCTCATGTTGCAAGCGACGGCAAGAAAATTAACAATGATATTCAAATTTTCTGGCTGGTATGACGTATGACATGCCAGTAAAAGCAAGGCACATATCCCCAACCCAAAAAAAAAAAAAAATCATCAGATATTGATACATAATATGTTGAATGAATGTGACATTATCAATCACCTACAAAGTTTCAATGTTTGTCCACATTTCCTCTATCATTGTGAAATGAAGTCCATACAGCTTTACTAGCTGCTGGCTCAGTAATTAAGAAATAACAGCATTTAAAAATCAAAAGCAGCTTCCCATGCGTGGAATCCTAATCCTCTTTACAGCTTCAATGGGAAGCAAAACCCTCCAAGATTAGCTCTGATATATCGGAGGCTCAGCTCCAACTACTACTCTGTGAAAACATTAGAATCAGTTTCTGCTATGCTATGCAGGTATGACAAGTCCAAGAGGGGGGGGGGGGGAGGAAATGGCAACTAACCATGGCTCTTAACCCAGACATTTGAAGGAATTACAAGAAAAGATTATATATCCTAGAAACAGCAGAGAGACAAGCTCAGACGAACCAGTCTACGCAAACAACATCCAGACATATTTGATATTCCCAATCCCAATTTGGCCATTCTAATGCTAATCTAACAATGGCATTCAACACCACTTAGTATAAAACAGGCAGGGGATAACATTCAGGGAAATAGTATTTGAGTCTACCGTAACGCGGCAATGTAAAAGATTAACAGAGTTCACAAAAAATATACACCTGGGCGTAATAGTCTCTCCAGACTCTGCGAGCAATCTGGTGACCACCCAAATCAAAGGCCTTGAATTTGATTTTTCCAATACTCAACTCCTCCGAAGTCGGATATTGAGTTGGCTGATGCTGAACTAACCTCTGCAAAACGGAGAGCCAAAAACTAAAATATCAACCCTAATTTCGATGCCTGGACGAGAATATACTAAAAAATAGAAGTGTCTGCAAGTGTCATGCACTAAATTAAGGCCTTCAGCGGGTGGGAAACACTAAGAACATAAAGTACGGTGGAAACGATAAAACCCATAAATCAACAATAAAATACAACCTCATCTTTCAGCATGTGAAGCAAGGTAGTCTTTCCAGCATTATCAAGCCCTAGAAATAAGATCTTCGCCTCCTTTTGCCAGAGACCGAGAGATGCAAGAATTCCGTAAAACCAATCAACAAGAAACATTTTTTCCTTCAAGAAGCTTCGAAATTCTCTGTTTCAACCCCCCCCCCCAAAGGGCGAAAAGTTATCACCGAAATTACTTCAATTAGAGAGAAGCAAGCTGCCGCGACAGAATCCAACCAGCGAAACAAAAAAGATAAAATTCAAGAGAGATCTAATCGAGACAGGGAGAAGGGATGCAAGAAAGAAGGATCAACTGAGAGCAAGAAAACGAGAAACCGAAAAACAAAAAATATAAAATCTTTCCGTTCGGGTTTATTTCTTGTACTGTTTTTAAATATATATATTGCGGTATGAAAGTACAAAACGAAAGCTAACGCGCGGCTGAATACTGATTACCGGTGTGGCCAGTGGAGGTGGTAACCGTCGTGGCAGATAAAATGACTAAAATGCCCCGGAATGCTCATTTTAGATTTTTAGGAGCAAGGGGAGCGGTGGACTGAGATGGTTAACCGGAATAACCGGTTACGTGAGGCAAAATCCAGATGTGCGCATTCCATTGGTGGATACGCGTCACAGGTGAGTCATAGCCATGAATTTAAAGTGAATAAAACTGTGGGCACCATCGGGGGGGATAAACATGCTGTGCTTTTTAAAAAAAAAAAAAGATCATAAATTATATAGTTTACATGCAATTTTAAAAATGAAATAAAAATATAAAAAAACGGAATATTTTATTCAATCTATTTTTTATTTATTTCTCAAAAATTGTTATAATAATAAATTGTCAGTTTGTAAATGTACAAAGAATTTGTAAATTTTAAAACTTCACTTTGTAAATTGTAAATAATAATATTTAAATTATAAAATATTAAAGCATTAATATTTTAATAAATATATTATTTTTAATTATTTATCCATGTCGTTGTTACTTGTTAGTAATGATAATTAGATAATCACTCAGTACTAGTTATAATAACTGGTTAAAATACTATTTTAGTCTATTACATGGGGAAGAAAGTAAATTAATTTCTTGCCATTTAATTATAATTTGCCCAACTTAATTGATGTTAATTTTTCAAGCGTATTTATTTACAATTTTTGAGATATTTTTTATACAATTAACTTACAATTAAATTAAGAATATTAATGGAGGGATGATAGTCTTCCCTTTTTTTAACCCAAAAAAAAATAAGGGTTAAGAGTTGTCTCTCAACTTTATTTAAAAAATTATTGGACACTTTAAATTTAAATGTAGATTAATTTTATTTCTAAACGTTAAAAGTCCTTCTTTAGTTACTTTGCAGTTCATTTACCATTAAATGATTAGTGAGCTCACTACATGTATTTTTTAATAGAAAGAATTAGGTCGAGAAGTCACTTAAATAAATTATTCATAAATAAAAATTAATATTAAATAAATTGTTATTAGAACAAAAATATAATTTTTTTTCAAATGAAATTTATTATTAATAAGTAATTTATTTAAATAGTTTTTGAATATAATTATTCTTTTTTAATATTTTTTTAATAAAAAAATTCGTCCTCACACACTCCCCCTACAAGGTCCTCCCCACTTTCCCTCTCTCCTCCATTCTTCTCCCTCTCCTCTCTCTCCTCCTCCTAGAGAAGCCCTTCCTCTTCAGAGCCTCAGCCCCTCCAAGCAAGACCATGATCATCTTCATCGTTCGGAGTTGGTGACCTAATTCATTCTCCCCACCTTCTCTCTCTTTACGCAAACTCCGGCTACTTCTTATCATTGGAGAAGTCGAAACAACTCACAAACTACGGCAGCTTCACTACCATAACCTCCGACGAGCTTGGAATATTTGACAGCTTTGGAGTATACGAAGCAGATTGTGGTGAAGAAGCCACAAGACCTTATTTTCGCATCAGCAAAAATAGAGGAAGGGACTCATGCATTGATCGCTCCCCATGTAAGAGACTCTGCTGAACAAAAGGACTGACAGTTGGTTCCCGTAATACCTAAATGAAATAAGAAACAAGAACTGTATTATGCAAGCCAAAAACCAGGGCCATAATGAAATAATAATGGAGGTCTCACTTCAATTAGATATCACGTTGGGCAAAAACAGAGGGAGTGACTCATGCATTGATCGCCCCCTACCCGCCTTTGTTTACTTTAAAGATACATTTTTACATTTGTTGTTTCCCTTTCAATCTAGAATTATATGCATACTCGTGATGCAGTGATTTGTATAAAGATTTCTATAGCAGTGGAAAAGGGTGTCTTAATCCTTCCTCTCATGATTGCCGCAAGATGGGTGAAGTAGTAGAGATTTTGGTTCATTCTAGCCACTCAAACGTTGGCAACTCAACCAATGCTGCCATTAATGCACCACATCAAGCCCTTAGGATTGGCCCAACAAGAAATGTTGAGAAACACAGTGGTGAAGATCATGGCGGGACAATTGTCAAGATCAGAGCTACCGTAGAGATCGAAGAGAGCTGATTTCATTCGAAGAATCTCTACGAGTCCAACGTTGTCTCCTCCGAAGAATCTTATTTCGCTAATCTCATTCTCCAATATCTTCAAAGCTTCCATAGCTTCGTCCACAGCATTCTCTTCCTCCTCACACCAAATCGCTCTCCACAACGCAGGCTACAAAAAGTTGCTGTTAATGAAAGAAGTGAGCAGGGTAGAGAGGGAAGTGAGAGAGGTGATATGGCCGCAGAGAGAGTGGGTTAAAAAAAAAAAAAAAGATGCCAGCTGCTGGGGCCCATTAACAGTGGAAGAGGGCAAGTTAACCTCAAGCAGGGGATTCGAATTTTAAAAGTTTAAAGATAGAAACGAACTCATATTAAATTTATGATGTCCAGTGACTTCTAAGGTAACATTAAAGGATAAAAACACCTCTAAACCCAAAAATGAATAACTGAGATTTAATATTTTATAAAATTATTATTATAATATTGCGTAGATCAAGGGTGATAACATAGATCAAGGCTTTTATGTAATGTTATAATAATAGTTTTATGAAATTTTAAGGGATGGTAAAATTTTTAATTTCTCAAGTTTATCTCAATTATCAATCGAGTCTTTCAAATTTAGTTTTTATTGATTTAATCTCTTATTTTTTAAAATTATCATATTAGTCTTTTAAGTTTTTAAAAATAAATTTACCTTCAAAAAAATATTTTATTAACTTAACAAGTATATGTAACTAAATGAGAATAAATTAGCATATAAATTAATTTAATTTCTATTAATTTTTTCCTTATGCTGCATTTTGTTCTTGTATTTTTTAAAAATTTCTAAGCATGTTGTTTACCTAAATAATTTTATTTTTCATTAATTTACATAACTATTATCAATATTTTATTATTTATGTTAATGGAATTGAACATTGTTACCTCCTTTTTTTTATGTTGCCAATTATTGTTACTTCTTATTTAGACAATAAAAATCAAATCAATAGCTGAAACAAATTTAAAAGACCAAATTAATTAAAAAAAAAACTTGAGAGATCAAATAGTTAATTAAAACAAATTTGAGGAAGTACAAATTTCGTTAGATAAGGAGACATGGAGAAAAAGAGATCATGAGATGATCCCGATCCATTTAACAACCATAGATTGGTTTAAGGTAATAAGATATTTACCATCCATCCCTCTCGTTGATTTGAGCTTACACATATTACAAGTTATCACAAGCACTAGGACATGCATGAAAGCCTTCTTTCCTACCTGCCTGCCCTTCCAGGAGTAATTATCTCAGTCGATGATCTCTTTGGCAATCATCCTTGGTTTTCTCTTTGGCAATCATCCTTGGTTTTCTAGCAAGGTTTTAGATCCCATAGTCAAGTTCTTTTAGAATTTGGGTTTGCAGTCCACACTTTGTTCTATAAATTAAGGCTTGGAAGGGAGAATCATAGAAATTGTCTTAGGGGAAGCTTTATTTGCTAGTGATTCCACCCACCAACAAGCTATTCAAATCCATCTCCTTGTTTTGTTGTTGTTAGGACTCTCAAAAACCCTATTCCATGCCATCATTTGTGAATAGAAATGAGAACAAAAATATAAATTAGAATGACAATTGATGGAATAAGATAAGCATGTGGTATAGTGTGGAGAATGATAGGCATTAGTGTTTAGCTGGACAATAATACCGTTAATATAAAAATATATTAGAATATTCATAACTTAAAGAGTCTGAAGGTACAGGATGGTTGAGAACACCACGCAACAAATAAATTTGATAATAGATGATATTATATTACACACTATCATGAAGTTCTCTCCCCTACAAACATAAGAAATGAGTTCGTGGATTGACCTGGAGCATGCGTGGAGAATTTTATAAGCAAAGGGAGCAAAGGACATTCCAGTCATTTTAGCACCCCATTCCAGGAATAAGGCTGCATTCCATCCATTGATCAATGGAATAGCCACCCCAGAAATCCTGATTGCATGCTAGTGGAATGGAATGGAGACCAAAAGAATGAACCAAACACGCAGCCCCATGGAATCCCATTCCCATGTCAACACTTGACAGTGAAAATTCTAGAAGCCAAACGAAGCATTATTCGTCCGCCTGAGGCTGTGGGTCCAGTAATCCCGGTCACTCAATAATACAAGCTAATTTCGTCAAAAATTTACACTCTGGGAAGATTAGACAGCAACTGGTTCGCTTGCTGTGCTAGAACTAGAAGCTTGTGCTACCTGCCTCAGAAATTCAAGAGGGTACTTATTAGTGCACCTAACAAAATAGAGTAGCTGTGTTTAACTGTACGTTTGTGTGCATTTGTTCAGCGTTTTGACTATTCTTTTCACATTCCAGGAGGTTTGCATCAAACAGAAAAGTAGGCCCAAGTTGGCTGCTTAGTTTCATTGACAAGGACAGCCACTAACAAGTCGATGCTTATCTCGTAGTGATCTTACCATCTAGATAAAAATAACCGGTGCGCAAGAATGGTTTTGTTCAGTAGGATTATTTTTTAAGGTTTTCTTTTCGAAAACTCACCTTTGCTAATTTAAATAATTCATCAAGCACCTCAGACAGAGTTGGATGTGCATGAACTGCAAACTTTATGTCCTGTATTATACCCCAAAAATGTGAAATTTACTTCACAGACAAAAAGATTGCTTTGTCTACTAACAAGTAAATTTGCTAAATAACATGGATGAGAAAAGAAAAGTTTGTCAGTGGAGCTCAAGTGGTTGTCTACTTATAATTAAAGGCAAAGCATACACAAAACTTTACCTGAACACGTGTCCCTAATGCAATGGCATTGGATGCTTCATGGATCAGATCTGCAGCATGCAATCCAAAAATATGAACCCCTAGTATCGCTCCAGTGTCAGGTCTGTATATCAACTGCGTGACAAACAGTGAAAAGCAGTTAGTAACCCATAAGGGTTGTGAGCACCAAGTAAATAAATGAAAGTACGGAGAAAGGCGTTATTGAACAAGTAAATCAGGAATCCCAGCTGTCAAAACCAAATAAGTTTGCCATACCAAAGTAACTCTTTTGTAAAGAACTCATTCATTCAACACTCGCATAATCTTCTGTAGATAAATAACATTTAAGGACAAAGACGCAGAAACATAACCTTTGCAAGTCCTTCCCCTTCGTTTTCTGCAAGGGCTTTCGTGTTTGCTTTAAAACTTGTTTTGCAAACACTAACTTCAAAGCCCTCTTCTGCAGCTTTCACCCTTGCTTGAGGCTGCAAATTTTATATGTTTGGTCACAATCCATGAGCTCTATTTAATACTATAAATAGAAGATATTTAATGATATAACTAAAATATATGAGAAAAAAAGGGGTGGGAGAGCAGAAGTGAAGAGAGGTTGGTTAACAAGAGAGTGAAGTAGTTCAAAAATATTTGAGTGGTGACGAGTGTAGCATAAAGCATGGTTACCTCAGTCAATCCAACCATGCTAATTTCAGGATGAGTGAAACAAGCAGCTGGGATACTAAAGTGATTGAGCACGTGATCTTTTCCAGTTATTTGTTCAACCACTGTCAGGAAATTTTCATTTGTAAAAATAGAAGCAAACAACTTCAATATTAGTAATTCGTAAGTTGCCACTCACCTGAAATTCCTTGTGCACTGGCAGCATGAGCGAGCATCATCTTGCCATTTACATCACCAATACAATATAAATGAGGGACCTATCATTTGATATTCTATTTCAGTAACAAGATATGTAAGCCAAAGATGTACGTTTTGAGAAAGCGAAATTTGAAACAAACCAGATTGCCATTTGTATCAATCACTCGCATGCACTCATCCACAGGAACAAAACCACGATGCATTGTGACATTAATCTGCAAGAAAAAATGTCAATTATACAATTACTTCCTTTAAGGAAAAAAATTACAATTTAAAGCCATTGGATTGACATACATTCTCCAAGCCAAGACCCTTAGTGAACGGAGCCCTTCCAGTTGCTATTAGTGCAGCATCTACCTGTAGCAAATTAAGATAATAACTTGACATGAGTCCAAGTGATTGGATATGTGATTAAAAAAGGTATAGAATACAAGATTCGTTAGTGATTTGCAAATGAAAACTCTTAGAATATTCCGCACGCCTGTAAAACCTGGTGCTGTAAATGTTTAAGAACTTCAAGCGATGCTACTAGGTTCAATAAGAAAACGAAAGCAACTAGTCTCTTAAGCTAAGCAACACAAATTGTGCCCTTCAAATTACTACTACTACTTATTTATTTTAGGGAGGGGGTTCGAGGAGAAGAACCAAGCTATGCATCAGTCAGAGGGAGTTGAATTGCTTGATTCACTCGGCTACATTCACTCAGTTTATTATATGCTGTGTTAAGTGTGTCCTATAAAAGCATCTGATCAGAAGTAATTGCGCACATCAAACCTAGGTAATCCTGTATGTGTTTGTTTTCCCCTCCTATTCTCATTGTGCTCACACATGTTGCCGAGTCTAGTTTCAAGAGTTAAGAATTTCTAGACTTTTCCTCTGTTGCGGGTAGAAAATTTGAAATCAAGCGTTAAAGTTAAAATTATGAGAATCCAGTTACCTCCAAGGTGTCCTTTGGTTTCTTGGTTTGTGCATCAATCAGTTCAATGATGACAGGTTTTCCATCCCTTGCAGGAGTGATCTATAGGAGGAGGAGGAGGAGGATGAGAAGAAGAAGAAGAAGAAGAAGAAGAAGAAGAAGAGGACTCCAGAATATCAAAATAGCCATCTAGCGAATATTTATTCAAGCATTTATAAGATGTGGTTACCTTGGAGGCAAAAACTCCAGTATGATAGTCAATTTTCCGCGGGGCTATTAGAACTCTCTGAGCCACCTTGCTGATTTCAGGATCAAATCCAGGCATAAGCTGATCTAAAGCTTCGATGAAAGTAACCTGCAGAATCCCATTAGTCCTCACTATATTTCTTCTGCAATGGCTTCAATTCGCAAATGAAGAAACAATATTTCTTGCACTGCTAGAAATTATAAAAAAGCATATGATTTGACAGTGAATCACATATTTCTGCCATAAAAATAATACCCAGAATCAATTATCAATTATTTGATATTATTTCTAATGGAGAAGGAACAATCGAGTATCATAAAGAGGTAGTACCTCACTTCCAAGAGCTGTGTACACATCACTAAATTCAAGTCCAATGTAACCACTTCCTACAATTGCTATCCAATCAGGAACAAACTCTAGTTTGAGTGCGTGGTCACTGGTAATCACAGTCTTCCCTGCAGGTAATTAATCATTCATTTTTTTTATATAGAATCCAAGCAAAAATACACACTGGCATGTAAGGTTTGAGAAGGGCTCCCCATGATAAATATATAGGACCAGCCAACGAATAAATTGAACAATATTTTAGCTTCTTTCAGGTGGAAGAGAAGAGATAAATGTGTACCATCAACTTCAATGCCCTTAGGAACAAAAGGAACAGAACCCGTTGCAATTATTATATCTTTAGCAGTTACTACATTGTTGGAAGAGCCAAATCTCACCTTTTGAGGTCCCTGCATGAATTCACATACGAGATGGTTCAAAGAAATGATTCAAATTTCTTAGCAATTTTATGATCAAAGTCAAAAGTCGAGCTTTGGCTGGTAAAAGTTCATTCTCCCACACTGCATAATATGTCGCTTACCACAATGGTTCCAAAACCTGCAAGTATGTCTACTCCAAGTGCTTTTAATGAATTGGTCAAATTACCACGAATCTTTGAAGCAAGATTGTTAGCATGGTTAGCAACTGCTTGTCTGTCATATCCAGCAGCAGAAACCTAAAATAAGAAAAAGCCAGAAAAGGCAATTAAACATGGAACCAAAATCTCTCACCACAATGAGGTATCCTTTGGATTACATTACAACTATAATCATGGCGATGGCTTCAGAACTTAATAAAGTAGATACACACACTCAATTAGAAAATTTTGTTACCTGCAAGCCCAAGGACTTCATGTGATGATCATTCTGTAGTTCCCGCATACGTCCACTTACAGCCAAAAGAGCTTTAGAAGGAACACAGCCTCTGTTTACACATGTACCTCCCATCACATCTCCCTCTATAATGGCTGTTTTCAAGCCCTGCGGTCACTGCATTATATATACCTCTCTCGCGTACAAAAATCTAAAGAAATATATTCTTACAGATTAATCTGCACACTCAGGGCAAAGGGCACACTGTCTTATAACTTACTAGACAAAAATTCACTAAAATATTAAATAAAGTAATAATAAGCATCCAGGCACAACAATTTTGTACTTAAAAAAAATCACATAGAAGAAACACGACCATATTTTTGTCGGAGCCACTCAAATTTCTAGGAGAACATCCATATGCAGTTATATACACATACAAGTTACTTTCTCTCACCCACACACATTTCTGTCCCAAACAAATGGCTCAACCGATACTAACAGCAAAAGCAACATAAAAATTCCTCCCATGTCAACTCCAAAGAACATCATGTAACACACGAATATACAACTGTGGAAAGTGGAATCAGTTCAAATATTCAAGTCAAGGGCGAATAACCAGTCGAGGCAACATTTAGAAAAGTTTTACGTGGTCTAAACTGCACTTCACAATATTAGCAAATAAAAAAGATGTCATCTCTAGTGAACAATCAAACTTTAAAGCCGAAATATGTCTTTAATTGTGTGCTATCTGCTTCGACGGAAACCATAACTGCCAATCACCAGTGCAGACAGGGTACCTTCTCAACCGCATGAAGCGCGGCCCCATGGCCACCAACGCCGGCTCCAATAATCAACAAATCGTAATCGAATGACTTTGGAGAGCTACCATTGTCAGACAAGGCAGCAGAAACTTTCTTGGAAACTCCAGGGTGAGAAAGCTGGATTCTCTGGTGCTCATCGTACAGCTGGAGTGAGATAAGACCAAGTGCCTCGCGCCTTAAACCGCAGAATCGGAGATTCAAAGGCCTCCGTCCAGTGAAGGGAACAAAGTTGGAGACGGGGTGAGACCTGGAAGTGGTGGACTCAGAGGAGATGGGAGAGAAAGGGAGTGAGAGTGAGGACTGCATTTTGTACAATGGCCAAATGAAGAAACAGGTCGGAGAAAATTAAAAGGGGAAGAGAAGATTAATAGAAGGAAGACGACGGAGTGATTTAAGTCGGTCGGACCTCGACTTGTCCGTCGGGAGTTGGGCGGAGATATCGAAGTGGTCGGACGACCCACTATTTTCAGCAGCGCGCTTACTGTCTAGCGTCTTCCATTGGTTTTTTTCTTTCTTTTTTTTAATGCAAGGTCATGAAAAAACTGTACAAAAGAGATATATAAATTAAGTTATATTAAATTTCATAAGTGTTTATTATTATTAAATTGCTAATTTATTAGAGATGGCATGCTTTCCACCTTAAACTAAGTGCATATTTGGATTAACTTCTAATCTTAGTTAGAATGAACCAAACTGAAATTAGAATATAAAAAGTTTAAAAAGTATTGATTGGATTAGCAAAAGACTTTTTTCCCTTAGCATTAACGTTGATCAGCTAGCTGTTGGAAACATTAATTGCCTTTTAAATTTTTATGCTTTCTCTCTCTTCTTATTTATCTACCCATGAGCTCTGATTTCCTTCTTATGCGTGTTCCTTTCTTGCCCCTGTGACCTCTCAAGCTCTACCCCTCAGATCTACTTCACCTTCCATTGCTTATAGATAGCGGCGTCCAGTAGCCGATCTCCACCATGTTAAAGCACCAAGTAACCTCCAGTCAATCTCCAGTTCTCTGTCGTCCCTTCTTGCATCCAGCATGTCCCTGCTTTGAAGTGGTTTTCTCCCTGTCACCTCTTGATCTCTATCGTGGTCTACCAGATTTGTACTTCTCATCATGAGATCTACTCCTCGTCACTTCTTCTTGCCAAGTAAGCTTCTTTTTTTGTCTCCTTCCTTGCCTTCCTTGCCATCATGCTTTGCCTACAAGTGGCCTCATACCATATTCACATCTCTGGTCTATCTCAAACCTTCATCGTCTTCTTCATCTTTCGCCTTTTTCGTCGTCTGTTTCTTGTTGACTGAAATGGTTGTCATTTTTTGGTCTCTTGCATTTTCTAGTCTCTTGCATTATGTATGAATGAATGGACGATTGAGTGCTCGACTCCCTGTTTCTTGTTTATTTTCTTGACTGAATGCTTGGTGATGATCCTTAGTGGGAGTTTTTGATGATCCTTGGCGAAAGGACAAGCTTATCATCTTTGTTTTTTTTCTAGCTTGTCCTATGTTTTTTTGGCCTATTCTATGTTTTTATTATCCTTGGTTATTCTTGTTTTTTTTCTCCTTAATTAAATGCTTGGTGTGCGTCTCGTGACATTTTCTCCCTTTTTGGCCTCTTTTATGGACGACTGAATCCTTGTTTTTTTCCCAACTATAGATTCCAATTGAAGTGTATCCAAGCTATTTCTTCATGTACTTTATAGTATTGCTTCATTTTCATATATGATTAAAAAGTTATTTTTCTTTTTTCTTTTTGCCCTCATGTTTTGTAATCATGTTTCTTCACATGTCCCTTGTTTATGTATGAATTATTCTGAAGGAAAAAAAAAGCTAGTAAATTGATACATATATGCATATATATATTTATTGATTTTGCATGCTTGTGATGGCTAGCTAGTCTATAGAACAATGAACAGTGATAAAGGAAAAGCTGTGTGGAATTCATCCTTGATAGAAATTTTCATTAACGAATGCTTGGACCAAATATGCAAGAAACAAAGAAAAGGAGCTGCATTCCACAGAAATGGGTGGCAAGCAATAATAGAAGGGTTTAAGGCAAAAACAAGAAAAAGGTATGAACAAAAGTAACTGAAAAATAAGCTAGATATTTACATACATACTATTTATTTTATATTACATATGAATGATATTTATATACTATTTTACCTCAGGTTGAAATGAAGGTTAGGATGTAGATGTGATGCGTCAACTACTTTTCTTGTTACAATAAGATATAATCGAGTAAGAAAAAATATATGAATTAGTTAGTAAATATGTGATGCCATATGTGTGTAAAGAACCATGGAGAACTATTAGGAAAACAGGATAAATGTGGGTGAATGAGATTTTGCAAGGTCATCCTAATCGTTGTTATGAAATATTTTGAATGAAAAAACATTTGTTTAGGCAATTATACGTGACATTAGTTGATCTTGGTCTTAAAAAGTCTAAAAAATTTGGACTTAAAGAAATGGTTGGAATATTTTTAAATATAGTTAGGCATGGAGTTGGTAATAGGATGATACAGGAACGATTTCAATATTTAGAGGAAATTGTCTATAGAAATTTTTTTAAAGTATTAACTGCCTGTCTCAACCTTGCCAAGGCAAATATAAAGCCACTTGATCCTTTATTTCAACGATGTCATTCAAAAATTCAAAATGATCCACGATATTGGTCATTCTTTAAGGATGCTATAAAAGTAATTGATGGCACTCATGTGCCATGCATGGTTAGTATTGCTAATCAAGTCAAATTTATTAAAAGAAAGGAATATGTAACACAGAATGTCATGATTATATGTGATTGGGACACGTGCTTTGCTTTTATGATTGTGGGATGGGAAGGTATAGCCCATGATGCCCGAGTATTTAATAATAACATCAACTCCTTCAATGAATTTTTTACATCCACCTCTAGATATATTTTATTAAAGTCACTATAACTATTATTGCATTGATTTAATGTTGGTCAAATTTACAATACTTCTTTTATTTAATAGGTAAACATTAGTTGATTAATTTTGGTTATTCAACACTAAATGGGTATTTTAATCCATATCGTTGTGAACGTTATCACCTTTCAGACTTTAGGTGAATTGCAAGATTTAAAAACAATAATGAGATTTGCAATTATTATCATTCAAGTTTGAGATGCATATAAAAAGAATTTTTAGAGTATAAAAGAATAGGTTTGTAATTATACAAAAAAATGCCAAAATTTAGATATAAAATACAAGTTGAAATTGTTTGTGCAATAACGAAATACATAACTTTATCAAGAGAAATTCAATTATCGATGAGTAATTCATACAAGCTAAAGACGAATGTGTAGATGTCCATGAAAAAGATATCAATATTGGTGAGCCATTCTCATCAAATCTACCTGGATCATCAGGGCAGATGCAATGTGTTCGTAATATAATTAGAAATCAACTTGTAAATCATATCAATTGAATATAAATTTATTTTAGGTTTTCATGATTGAATATTTAAGATATTTTGCTTATTAGTTATAATTTTAAGTTTAATATTTTTTTACTTATTAATTAGTCAAAAAATATAAATAAAAAATTTATGTTTATTTTGGTCATTAAAAATTTCAACTGACTTTTGAATCAAATCATCTAAATGAATTTTAATTTATTTAATTGACTTTTGGATAAAGAAAGATATTCAAACATAAATCACGTTACATTAACTAATTTTTTTCCTAATCTCAATTGCAAATTTTTTGATCTAAACACACACTAAGTATAATAATAAGTAAGGAGAATTTCAATTAAGGATGAGAAGACACTTAACTTTAGGTGGGTTTAAAAATATTTTAAAATTTTAGTTCAGTTTAGGAGAGAAAAGTTAAAATAATTTAATGGTAAAAAGATCAAAATACCCTTTATGTGTTATGCAGAATTACTAATTGTTAATTTTCTTATTGCACTTATTAATTTACCAATATCGCTAATAAATTACCTTCATTTGTCAAACAATTAATAATATTAGTTATTAATTTGCTAACTTTACATGTTAATTTACTAACATCAATTGTAAATTATTTTATAATTTACAATTGATGTTAGTAAATTAATAAGTAAAGCTGGCAATTTAACAACTCATTTTGCTTCTTATAATTGAAAAACTAACATCAAATTTTATATAATTATTGATATATTAACTCATATAATTTGTAATTCATATTCATAAATTAACAAGTGAAGTAAAAAAGATTAACAATTAATGATTCTGTTTAATAAGTGAAGGACATTTTGGTCTTTTCACCATCGAAATTATCTTGACTTCTCTCCCTTGGATTGCACTAAAATTTTAAAATCTTTTTAGACCCACATGAAATTAAGTCTCTATAATGGTCCTTAACTAAAATTCTCCCTAATAAGTATAATAATAAGTGTATCTTTACATAACAAGCGAAGTAAAAAAATTAACAATTAATGATTCTGCATAACAAGTAAAGGATATTTTGGTCTTTTTACCGTCAAAATTTTTTTGACTTCTTTCCCTAAGATTGAACTAAAATTTTAAAATTTTTTAGACCCACATAAAATTAAGTCTCTATAGTGATCCTTAGCTGAAATTTTCCCTAGTAAGTATAATGATAAGTATATCTTTGCACTCTAACTTCATACAAAATTTAAAGGAAGAATGAGAAGTAAGAAAAAAATCAACAATTATATGGCAAATTTGCTACTAAATTACATGTTTAGTGGTTGTGATTCTAAATTCATTTTTGGTATTCCATCCAATCAAAAATATAAGACATTTTTAACCGACTATCACCCCCAATAAAGTTATTATCTACTTTCAAACTAACCATATATTTTTATATTTATCCCTATTAAATACCCTACAATAAATATAAAGTTATTATTAATAGGGAAACTTTTGAAAAAAAAGGCAATAATTACATTTCGAAAGATTAAAAATACCTTATATTTTTTAACAAAGGAATTATAATATTTTTATTTAATTTTTAAAAACAATGCAATATTATTCTTATCATTAACAAGTATAAATTTTTATCATTAGTTAACTAAAAAATTAAAAAAATTGCTTGGTTATTTTCTATAATTTTTATTACCTTACATTTTTGGGCCATTGTCTTTAATTTTGTGTCTTTTTCTATAATTTGTTTCTTTTTTGAGTCATTTTTTGTAATTTTACAATCAACTAACGGTCAAGGTTAACTTTCACTAGCAATACAAGCAATGTTGCATCATTTTTAAATTTTAAAAGGGAACATTATATCAAAAATGAGTTAAGAATTTTAGACATTTATGAATACATAGTTTAAAGGTAAAATTGCACTTCTATCCAAAAATTAATAACAGTTAGGTCTATTTTTTTTTTTGAAAAATGAGTTTTAAATATTAATTTTAATTCAATAATTGTAAATTCAAGAGTTTGTAATTACAAATAAAATATGCAAATTCTAAATATAACATTCAGTTTCTAATTTGTAACTGCTTAACATTTGACAATGTTTTATCAACAT